AAAAAAAAAAAAAAAAAAAAAAAAAAAAAAAAGAAAAAAAAAAACCTTTTTCATCCAACTCAAGACATTATATGTGATATAACGATAGCATATTCAAATGAACTGCATAAGAGCATCAACAATGTTTTGGGTTCATTCAAAAAAATATACTGGCCATGTAGGAAATAGACTCAGTTCAAAAAATTATATACTCCAATGTAACTGCAAGTGGACTGGGTCTTGCTGACGTGGCAGCAGAAAAAAAAGACTCAGTCTACCCTTAAGTCTAATTTAGACCCAAACAAAGACTTAGTGTCTTTACATTGGGGTCAATTTTGTTACTTTTATATATTTTTGTTCATGTCACCCAAGACTTAAGTCTATTTACTTGCCACATAATCAAAATTAGACTCAAATCATTGCAGATGCTCTAATAATAATTATGCGAGATTCTGTCGTATATATACCAATGCATAACCAAATCGAACGTATAGTTAAAAATTATGCAAAAAATATTTACATATTTGCTAATTGTATATCCAACCACCGTATAACTTTTGATATGCGAAATTCGCATATATAGTAAGTGCATATCCCAATTCATAGCCGCATATTTATGATTATGTGACATATATTAGCATATTTTACGTCTCGCATTTCAAATACAATTAACAAGTATGCGAAACGCTTACGCATATTATTTAATTGCATATCCAAATACACCGCATAATTTACCATATGCGATAAAGCTTCGCATATTAGTTCATCGCGCATCCAAATTGATCACCACATGATTTAGAATTATGCAAAATATTTATGCAAAGTTTTCATATCCAACTCTACGGCGCCGTATAATTAACGATTATGCATAACATATTCGTATCAGGAATCACATAATTTATACTTTATCCAAATCAATTTTATGCGAAAATTATTTCACATATACAGTTACTGCATATCTAAATTGATCACCGCATATTTAAGATTATGCTAAACGAGTTTGCATAATTTATGACTCTCATGTCTAAATCGGACGCATAGTTAAAAAATATGCAAATTATGTTCGGATATATATTATAATTACATATCCGAATCCACTGTATAATTTAACATATGCATGAAAGTATCACATATCCAAATCGAACGTCGTATATTTTATTATTATGCGACTTTTTTCGCATAGTTTACGATTCGTACATGCAAATCTGTAATGTCATATAATTAACGATTGTGCGTAATGTATTCGCACATTCATGAATCCAAATTGAAAGGTGCACAATTCAGGACTATCAGTCAATTTTTTGGATCTATTTTAAGAATCATATATCCACCAAAAATGTTTCGCATATTTTTCGAATAGTTATGTATCACATTGTTTGACTTATTTTTTCACGCAAATTAGACACGCATGATGTAGATTTTTTTTTTGTCTAAATATTTACTACCATTTAGCATATATTCTTCTTCTTCTTCCTGCCAACATTTACTACCATTTAATTATTCCTCTTCCTCCCTACATTTACCACCATTTAATTTTTCTTCGTCTTCCTACCTGCACTCTGCTGCATTTATTTTTGTTCAAGCTTTAAGGCTCCATATCTACTGTATTTTTTTTTTTTTTTGAAAAACTTGTTTGGCTCTTACTTTTATTTCCTTTAAAAATTATACTTTAATAGCTTGCAACCATGTTAGAGTATGCGTGCACTATAGCGGTGCATTTTCTCTAGGTAACTATGTTGGTGGTGTCGAAGAGCTAATGAGAATAAATTGTGGTCAACAAATGTATTCTGAAGTGGTTTCTCGTGCTCATGCATTATTAAAGGTTGATCCTTGTAATTTTGATTACATATTGTGGGTCACATTAGGGAAGTCCTCGAGTTACGAAGATGAGAATTGAATCCAATAACGATATCGTAGAGCTATTTCAAAAACAAAGTACTCCCGACACTTACATCGAGTTGGAGCAGCGACTAAATGTAGGGATTCCGAGGATGGGGCAACAAAGCTTCACGCAAATGATGGCGTCCAATGGCGTGTGTGTGTCAGAGTTATTTTGGTTTGGTAGTTATGTTGTTTCCCACCAGCCCTCATATTCATATCAAGCAGGCAACTCTTTTCACCCAACAGGCTCTAGTTCATTTACACATACTGGAGAAGGCCCTAGTTCATTTACTCAGGCTGTTGATGATCAAACTGCGGCTTATTTGGATGTGGACCCTAGGTTGAATTATACATGTGATTGATCGAACCAAGCAGTTTGCTTGGGAAGAGTGAGGATCGCCGATTTTGTGCAAGTTACGAACTATCCACGAATTAAAACCTAAGCACAACAGAACTAGTAGCAAGGGTTCAACCATTTAATATTTTCGTCTACTCTGAGACTTTTCTGATTTTTGCAGTTGAAGATCGTCAGAAACTCATAGTCCATTAAGCTTTCGGCTAGGCCTCGCCATCACCTTAGGTACCAACTGTAACACCCCGCTATCTTACTAATATCAGAGTCAATTTTTCGCAAAATCTTTTCTAATAGAAACTTAATAATTTGCGAAATCCTTACTCGAGATGCTACCAAAACTTTTCTGTTCTGAAAACCCGTTTATAAAATAATCGTATCAGAATTAATTACCGAAACTGTTTCGGTTACTGAATACTAATTAAACTGAATCGATTTTTGACTTAAACTCGAACTTATATCTGAATGACTTAATAATTGGGCTCGAAAACTAAAACGAGCGATATTAATAAAAGGAAAATCAGTTTAATTTCGGAACTAAACATATCACTTTTTTTAATAATAAACTGGGATATTACAATTTATCCTCCTAAAAACTATTTCCGTCCTCGGAAATACTAAAACGGAAAAATAAATACAAAATACAAGAAAATGTATATACATCAAAACTCAAAATCAAGAAATCGAGCCCTAATATCAGCTTCGCACTCCCAAGTGGCGTCGAATTCACCGTGGCGATTCCATCTGATACGTACGAGGGGAATGTTTTGGTTCCTGAGCCGATGAACCCTACGGTCCAGCACTGCTACTGGCTGCTCCTCGTACGTAAGTCTGGATGAATATGAAGTTCATTGTGCTGAAGCACATGATCTGGATCGCACACGTATTTCCGTAACATTTTGCACATTGGATAACTCGGGAGGCAAAGTTAATCGATAGGCTACCCCGCCCACTCGCTCGAGAACTTCGAACGGGCCTATGTAACGAGGATGTACCTCTCCCCTCTTCACGAATCGAACGATCCCTCGGAATGGTCGAACTCTCAGAAAGGCTGGGTCTCCAACCTCGAACTGCATATCTCGTCTGTGTTTGTCGACTGATGACTTCTGCCGACTCTGAGTTGTTTTAAGCCTCTGCCGGATCAACTCCACCTGCTCAACTGTTTTCTCGATCATCTTCGGACCAAGTACTCGGCGTTCGTCAATATCATCCCAGTAAAAGGGATGAACGACATTTGCGGCCGTAAAGTGCTTTGTAAGGAGCCATCTGAATTGACGTATGATAAGTGTTGTTATAGGCGAACTCAACTAACGGCAAAATTGACCCCCACTTAGCACCTCTGTCTAGAACCAAAATATCTTCGAGCGTTTGAATGGTCCTCTCTGTCTGACCGTCTGTCTCTGGATGGTAAGCCGAACTGAATTGTAACTGCGTGCCCATCGCCTCGTGTAAACTCTCTGTAATATCCCGTCAGATTAATAATATAAATCATGTATTTAGTTCCGATATAATAATGTTATCGACTATTATTTTCGGAATTAATTATTTTTAGTTGAGATTATCCGAAATTATTTTCGAAGTCTCGTTTACGTTCGGAATAATTTCGGTAATTAAGTGTCATGCTTAGTTAATTAATTAAGCATGAAAATTGTGATTAATTAGCAATTAATAAAATGTGAGTTTAAAATGTCGTGGCATTGTTGGAGTAGTAAGTCATTTTAATTTATCAGTCTGAGCATAGTCCTTAGTAATTGTTTATATTATATTTTAGTTTGATCAGGCATCAGTCATCAGCGCTACCTTTCATTTTGACGGATCAGGTGGGGACTCAAACTAAGTACTACATTGATTATAATTACGCTACTATGTTTGAGGTATGTATTATCAGTATCCGCTCGGAATGGTCGCCGGTCCATTCTGGGTTCTAGTGGCCTTAATCTGCCCACTAGAGTGTGCACATGGTGTCCAGCTATGTCGGCAGATGTTCAGTTATCAGTCAGGTGATGTATATCACGAGATCAGTATCAGATTATTCAGTACCAGTATCAGATATCAGTTATCAGTTTCAGTTTCAGTTCAGTTATATATGCCAGGATCATGATATTGTTATTATTTTCACTGTTTTACTTTAGTATGAGTTTCTGCGGAGCACAGTGTTTTAGTGCTCACGCACAGAGTCGGGGACGAGGAGTGAGCTGGCGAGCGGTTCAGGACATTTGTTTATATGTACATATTATGTTTTGGCTACGCTACATTTCCGCTACAGTTTTTCAGTACTTTAAACCAGTTTTTGACCCGACGATAGTCGGTTAATATATTAGATGACTGTTGTTATTATCAGTTTAAAATTAACGGTTTTCAAAATAAGTCAGATTTTACGGTAGCACCTCGAATCAGATTTCGCAAAAGAAATACTTTATTTATTTTATTTAGAAAATTTGCGAAAAAGCGCACTCTGGATTTCATGAAATAGCGGGGTGTTACAATTGGTATCAGAGCACGTTTCTGCGTCTCTGAAAAGTTTTATCAGTCAGAATATTTTAGAAAAACCTGAACCGTCACGCTCACGCCT